CGTTCCTTGAAGCACATTTCTTCCATCCACTTCTTTTCCACGATCTAATTTCTTTCATTATTCCTACCTTGCTGCCTTACTCAATTATTTTGCAGACTAGTTTGGTAGTAATGCATGGAGCTATATCAATTAACTTGTCATCGCCGATGGCAGTTGGTCTTCTCTAACCAACCCCATCTTAAGATCTTTACTCAGAAATTCAAATCGTGCAGCCCACGGTTCCTTCCTTTGACACTGTTCACGTTATCAAGTTTAAAAGAGCATATAAAGGGATTTAATGGAGATTTGGAGATATCTCACTCACTCAGTGGTTAATTACACTGCAGATGGTACATGCGCTTTGTATCTATGATTTTCTGAACTCCTGAATTCCATAAATCCTATCAACACTCTTGTCCAAAAGAATATGATTTTCTAAAAACGAGGATAGTGTGACTTTTCCCAGAAAAAGTATTTCTTTACATGTGGTTGATGCTCAGAAGGTTTTCAGCTTTTACTCAGCGTCATTTTTTAGTGGTACTTCTGCAAGATATTTTAAACTACCGACGTGTATCAAGAGAACAGTTGAAATTCAAAGAAATCTGAAGAACAACACGAAGAGCAACAAACAGTTAACGATAAAATGGGCAGAATCGCAAACGAGCACTGGTCTCCTTCTGGAGCCGCTTGTTTTCTTACGTGGATATGTAACCCGGCATCTAAATTCATTTAATCCACATATCTTAGTACACAAGCAAAGCTAGTATGAGAAATGATAGAAAATAGCTAACCTGCTTTTTTCAGGGATTTTCGAAACCATAAAACGCGTCCTAGAGAGTAATGTGTTTCTGGTGAATGTGGTGTGCACAGTGGGGGAGGCGGAGCTAAAGCCATGAGCGTTTGTGGTGATCGAACCAAAGGTAGTGGCAGTAGTAGCAGTAGTAGTAAAAGTAGTGGTAGTAGTGGTAGTAGTGGCAGTAGTAGTAGTAGTGGTAGCAGTAGCAGTGGTAGTATTGGCAGTATTGGTGTTGCTGGACCTCAAAGCAGTGCTGCTGACTTTCGTGATGTCTGACCAAGGTGTCACTCGTATAGAAGAAAATCTTGTTATCACCGGAGGTCGAACGAGATCGATTTCTGTCGGGTCACATGTTTCCTTGTCTGCAGAATGCTTATTAACACAAGTGCTATCATTATTGTTACTATTGTTACTTTACTGCTGCTATTACTACTACTATTATCAGCATTATTACTGCTGTCATTTTCGCGAACTCGACATTTTACATCATTTTCTGTTTGTTAATAATCGCAGCGATTGCCGTCTTGGAACAAAACAAGAAACCTCTCCTTGCTCCATAAGAACTGGAGCCACCTGAGGAACTGAGCACGTCGTAGTACGAATTTCACAAGATTCCTTGAGAAAACCACCAAGGTTTGGAATATAAATAAGGAAGACGCACAACAAATCTTCGAGACCTCAGGTGAACCCATTACGAAACCGATCAGTTCTATGGAAAACGGTGGCAAAAGAAAGGAATCGAAAAAGTGCTGTGACAAGGACCAAGTGATATTATATATACATATATATATATAAATGTATGTATATATATATATGTATACATTGCCAGTGCAAGCATCCGCTATAAAACTAGTCGCATGGTGGCAAATCTCCCTCTGATCCACAAAGGCCGGTGACTGTCTGTGGTGGTGAAGATCTGGGGCAGACTTTGGCCAGGCTGAACTAGGTACTTCAGGGAACAACAAAGAATAGACCAACAAAACTCCGAAAAAACGGAAATTATGCTGGGGCCCGCACAACCGGTGAAGATGGATGGTCATCCAAGTAAGTATTACTGTATTTATAATTGAAACTATTTTTGACATTATTAATGTTGGTTGTTATGATTACTGTTATTATTGTTAATATTTACTCCATCTAAGTTATACCTCTTAATAGTAGAATGGAAATGTTCTTGTATTTGAAATGCGATCTATAGGAAAAACCCCTTTCCAATGGGGTATCAATATGAGAAAAGACATTGTTACGTGGAGGCACTTTGCGGTTGGGGAAATTACGCAGTTTTCTGTTACATAAAGACGGCTATACAAGCGATTACAAAATAGGCGACGTTTAAAAGTGTTTGGTTGCATTGCATTCGGTGCTCCCGAATTGTTTGGATTGGCTCTTGTTAACCATCGCTTTACAAGTGTGCTTGCTCAGCAGGAGATAAAGGGTAAGCTAAAAGGAACATTGTTTTCGTTATAACGAAGTTAAGTTTATAGACCTGGCTATTCTATCCGTGAGCCCGTCTACACAACTGATAATGGGTCTAACGTTGAAATTTGAAGGATCAGTAGGCGGCAGATCATCAATGGGTACTAAGCTATGATTATTGATAAGCAAGATTTACGGGTCATTTCAGTTATTCAACTTTTATTAGCAAAGTAAGCAATGGTTTTAAATCTGCTGTTACTTCGACCCATTCCGTGTTCAAGTTTTGGTATTGGCTTTTGAATTCTTTTCCACATGATGGGCGATAAAGGGACTTATCTCAAAAATGCTTCCCCGCATTTCACCACCTAAATGACCGATAACAGCTACGAACTCCCTTCCTCATCACTAACTGATAGCCTGATAGTTCATGATTTCATTGGTTCTCAAACTTGTCCCATTCCACACTTTAACTCTTTGATCGATTCGTCTGAAAATATACGGAAGTTAATGCAGGAAAATAATGAGTGAAAGTGAAAAATGAAAGTTAATATGCTAAGTTTTTTATTCTGGTAATATTACGAAAGTGCTTAACTAAGCAGACTGCGTGCGAATTTGACCCTGCTAATCTCTTAAGAAAGCAGAAACGCTGGAATGTTAGCTATTATGCATAAATAACGTAGTCAAGACCTCGTGTTCCCTCGTCAGTTAAACGCCAGATTATCCATTTTTAATATGTAAGAAGCATTTCGTTTCTCCCAACCATCCTCGCCCACGCTTTTCTGGTCAAAAAAAAGAAAAGCAGGACCAGTAAGAAGAAAGACAACTCAGCAGCTATGACGACGATTTGAAAACATTCTGTTGCAAGTTTGGGAAATTTATATCCAATGAAAACCTTCTTTACAAAGTTGTCTTCGCTTGCTCGTTCTTATGCTGTTTCTGTGCTGGCAATGAAGTCCTCCGAAAGAACTTTGTTTAAGGCGCAGTCTTCATTGTTAATAACTCACAAAATGGCAATGCAGGAGAACAAACTTTACAAGTGCCATGTTTCTTGAAGGACGACAAAGTTGTAAATTTGGTCTGCAGTATCGATAGGAAAAATACCTGGAGACATTAACCTTTTTTGTATATAATCTGGAATATATTCCATACGAGCATTTGTTCTTAAACAGGCTGATTCTTGGGCAAAACATGGTTCTTTATGGTTCTTTATGAAACAACAAAATAGTAGTTCTCTTTCATAGACTGATCTTCCCACAAGTGGTCGGCACCCTTATGGATCAGAGTGATGCATTTTGGCTTTGTTTAGGAGATCAGCTAATTTCGAACAGTCGGTCGATAACTTGAAGCCTAGGCGGATCATTCGGTAGTGGATTTCAAGCACAGAGCCAAATGGAGAAAATCAAATCTATTGGTGCTTCACTCGTCTTCAGAGACCATGCCAGAAAAATTAGACACCATCACTATTGCTAGTGTTACTGTGTTATTGTCGATTACTACGCTCGTCATCTGTAGTATTATTTGAGTACTACTAGTACTTTATTAGCTCCGAAAAAAATTTCAGTACTTATTAGAGATGCAGATATACTGCTAGCGGAAGTAAATAATTTTAAGTAAAAATAATCTTTTTACCTGGTGGAACAAAACAGCAGCAAATGATGTGACCCTCGTGTTGATAGCACCTGGAAAACTCTCATTTACTTAAAACAGTTTTTACTAAGCTATTTTATCTTTTACTAAAAGCTCGCAATATTGTCAGTGAGATGATTATAATCTTGGACAAGAGACGACCTTCTCAATTAACCACCTGTGCAAGTACTTTCGGTGCACGTCCACATGACGACTTCAGAAACATGGGCCCGTATCGAACATTAACCATGGGCAACTGTTATCCTTTACTACTATGAGACTCTTTGTCTCCTGCGGCATTGCGCTATGCTAAGACGGTGATCGTAAAAATTATCTTATATCACGATGAAGAAGCTCTACTTAGAAAATCACATTTACAATATCACAATCAACAACTTTAATGGCACGATCTACCAAAGAAAAACCTCTGAAAAGCACCATGTGGGCACCCGTGTAATAGAAGGAAAGTAGAGCATGAAAACCATGTAAATTGATCATGACGACCAAGATATTTAGCTTACGCTTTTTCAAGTTAGAGATGACCGTTCATATTGGAACGCACCACAGCTGAAAGACAAACATTGTGTCAAACTGTTCCATATTTTGCACATAATTTCATTTTTAACAAAAAATATCGTAAAATACTTCGATCCTGCTCATTTTTAGAGGAGGCAACCACACTATCTCGAAGGCGATGGAGGTGACCATCTACTTCGATTTCCTTGACGTCCATATGCGCCCAGCTTCCAAGCTTCATGGTCACTTATATCTGTTTTCCTTGGATGCTTGGATGGCCCGTCTTCACTGCTTGTGCGGACCCCAGCACAATTGCCATTCGTTTCTGTCTCGTTCAGTCGTCGACCATAGTGATGGACTGCTTCAAACATTGTGACCACTGCGAGGTCCATTCCGTAAACCTAAAATCGTTGCCATCTATGAGTACAGATGGATGTCGTTAGCCGCGAACACTTCCGCACAACGTGTAGCTGATGCTTCTAGAGGACGTCTGCAACTTCGTTGAGTCTATTTCACCGTTGTTCCCGTCCATCTATCAGAGGTCTTCTTATTCTGTGACCAAACCGTCCGTCTTTCACTGTCGCTGTCTATTTTTACAGCTCCCGAAAGTGGCATAGGATTCTGCACGCTGCACGTTCCGGCTAGACGTCATGAGGCTGATTAGATTTCAGAAGGCACCGTTCAAGCGCTCTGTGAGAAGCGCACAAGTTTCACAAGTTTCACAAGTTTCTTGACATGGTTCAGGAGTTGGTCCACGTTCCTGCTGCACAATAAAGCGCTAGAAGACTGTTTAATCAAAAAAGTGAGCGCGGAGTTTTGCGTCCGCTAGTTGGTCAGTGACCTTCCTGAGTGGTCCAAATGCGATCAATGCTGTTCTCTTTCTTCTATCCAATTCTTCCTTGATGTTGTTTTCCATGTTCATTGAACGTCGAAGGCACACGTACGAGGCGATTTCTGTGTGTTCAGGTAACCACCCGCTTCGATTTGTTTGCCTTCGCTCTATGGGATAACCGGTAGGACGATAAGTCCATACTCTTTTATTTCGAATGAGGAAAGGGCGATTTGGCTACTGAAGAGATCCGAGTTGTAATCGCGAATTAGTTCCTTCTCACTGCCTTTCTGGAAGCTGTAAATATTTTGTCTGGCCGTTGAAGAGGAGTCATCTTATTCCTGTAATTAGCGAATCTTCGATGGGATTTAGAGTGCTTTTCTCGGCCTCTGCACCTACGACCACGATTACTGCTCTTCTCACCTTAACGTTTTCATTTATCGCCTTTATGCATTGTTCTGCAAATCCAGACGAGAATTAGCGATTCCTCGTATATCGTGCGATTTTCCATGTTGGCATGTCAGCTCAAGTGTTTCTGGACACACGTCTCTAGGTGATTTTCGAACTTCAGCTTTTATAGTGCTAAATGGCATCTTCCCAACAGCCGTCTAATGGGTTGAATAAATTGCAGTTTATGGTCGTTTTTAAAGTTTATTTTTTAGATTTATCTTTTTTTCTTTCTATCTTTCCACGAGGAGTGGAATCTTGCGTGAAAGAAGTGGCGGTCTGATTCCGTGCAGAATCTTGGGACAATAGCGGAATCGGTTAGGCGAAACCTTCGATTTACTGTGAACTGATTTATTCCGTTATGGTATCTTTCATTGAAAGACTCCTTTGTCTAGTTTTGAGAGCCGGGTCCCTAAAATTGCGAATTACCATGAATGGTCCTGGTCATCTGATAAACTTAGATACCCGCTCATCCTCCTCGCTCCTTCTAATCCACGGGTTTCAATGTTACCTTATTCAGACTTTTTTCTGAGTTCATTTTCAATGTTTAAACCTTTAATGATGACTTAAAAATTGTATCTTCTTCATTGTAGGACATCTCCAGATCCTTGCCGAACGCTTCGATATCGTCTTCGTCATAGTTTGATGTCGGTGCATGGATAACGAAGAGCGTGAAATCCAGTATTCCTCCAGATCTCCTCAGTCGTGTTATTAGTTCTTCGATGTGGGTTGTTAGTTTTTCGAAAGAATAGGTGTTTACTGCCAAACTCGTGTTGACAAAAACACCAACGCCACCGACTCTTCTACTGCAGCATTTTCGGAGAAACAATTCTTCTCTGTTGTCATAGACGGCACTGAATGGGTGGCATCGTCTTGTCTCGGCCAGGCCAATGACGTCCTACCTTACCCCTGTTGTCTCCTTTCCTTTGTTGTCCAGGTCCTTTATGGAGGACTGAAATGCAAGTAAGAGTGCAATGTAGTTACGGATAATCACTTTAATCCTTCGATATTTAGGCAGCCAAGAATGGTCCTAACATTTTAGCAGCCTTCCCGTACTCGTCTTACCCGACGTTGCCGTATCGGGCGCTCTTTCTTGCTCAGGAAAATGGGGCCCACTTATTTGACCGTATTTTGCATTTGACACTCACATATAGCTTGCTGAGGTGTGTACGTGGGGTGAGGTAGCTCGCCTGTCTCCCCTAGAGTGAGCGGGGAACCTATTTGTTGGAGGCGACTACTAACTGCCTCCCTGACAGCACATAAACACATACAATCCCGAAACTATCTGTTACTGCGTTCGTTCCCCACCGCATACACCTGCGGTCCGGAGTTTTGCAAATATCTCAACATCATTGAAGTTACATCTGTTACAGAATTCACAAACAAAAGACATACATTTGCAATCTTAGAAAAAATTCGTCATTGCTCACAGTCCTATGCACCACCCATTTCTTTTTATTACTCAAAGTACGCAGGTAGGAGATACCAACAAACGTTTAGGTAACGTCTACACTTAGGAACTAAAAAAATGTTTGTGGATGATACATGTATTTATGTGGAACCGATAAAGGAGCTGAATCGCACCTGTCTCCGTCCTTTCCTTGATGCACCAGCAAGCAATACCTGTACAATTCGTCATTCAAATGTCTATAAACGCAATGCACGTCGTCCATGTCATCCAGCTCCTCTAAAATACCATTCGCTGTTATCTCCACTTTTGTTTAATTTTGACCGCTTCATCTCAATTTCCAATTTTTCAGTTCCAATGAATTCATTGCAGTTAACCTTCGCTATTTTCTTTCGTAAACATGTATCCATAGAATCGATTAATAATCGCTGGACTCTGGCTAGGGTGACCAACTATACCTCTGTTTGTCCGTGGTAGATAACAAAGCTACCTCATCTTCTTCACATAATCAAGGATGCTAGAAATTTTCTAACGCTACTTTAATTTTATAAAACTACTTCTAATTCTCTGAGCTCTGGCGATAGAAAGGAAACAAGTTGGACTCTCTTGGAGCAGGTGAAGTGCTTGTTTATTGAAGACGACCTCGAACTGCACCCGTACACTTCTGAGTCGCCTAATTGTGGTCACCAGCCGAATTGGCATGTAGATGCCAACCACAAGAATGCAATGCAAGACAAGATAAAAATCATAGTACATACAGGAAACAATGCAAGAAGACCTACAAAATATGCCTAAATACGATGACATGTGTGAAAGCACCAGCGAAGCTGTCATAGCAAAATGAGAGCGCTTGTCCTTCATCGTGTAAAACCACGTATATGACCATTTTTGCTTAACTATTATTGCTCTTATTATTTTTATATTCTTGTTGAGCGAACGCGAGGTGTTATTTTATTTTTTTATTTACGAACAAGCTGACGTTCTAGAGGATTTCGCTTTCTTCGGAGTATGGAAAGCTCAAGTTGATCGCAATCTATCCAGCCAAACGTGCTGCTATTATTATTAGTTATTAGTATTAGTTATTATTACTAGTGTTGCTATGGTTATTATTTGGTATTAGTCAATATTAGTCATAGTTATTAACAGGAGGCGGATAGCACAGTGGTAGTGATGTCCGTCATCACAAACACAGTGCTAGTTCGATTCCGCTTTCAGCCAACCAAGCCTCTCATCCCTCCGGGATCGGAAAATTGGTGCCAAACTTTTCTGGAAAAAAAATCACTCTCTGAAATCCGAGTGGGAACGCTCAAGCCCGACTATCTCAGGACTCCAGAAAAAATTGGTCGACCAGCATTCGACAACATTCGAAATGAAATTAAAATCCTCAAGTAGCAACCGAAGCCACGCTCAAAAATTAGAAGATCTTCGTGGACAATGGATGCGAGGAAACGAATCGAATCCTTTGTCTGGGATCCGCATGGTAGAAGTGAAGACGGGTTATATAAAATAAAAAAATGGTTATTATTATTATTATTATTATTATTATTATTAACTATTTTTGCTTTTATCATTGCGATTATTATTCTGCCTTACTATCTATTTTTATTATGACACATACACACTTAACTACAAAACTAGATGTTACATTATTAGGGAATTCGAGAACTATGATGCGTATACTGTGCATGCAGTAAAGTTATGTACCACACGTAACCCGTCATACCGTAATCATCAATGTGTTCGCCAGGAGTGTTACTCAGAGCCGCAGGAGTAGTTTGTGAGCGATCGGCTGGTGACGCCTTCAGGAACGGCGATGGTGTCAGCCTGCTCACTCCGACTTGCCTCAGCGCGGTCGTTGAAGACGGTGAGGGCGATGGAACTCGCGTGACGAATTGCAAAGATGGATCATGTTCCTCTTCTTCGAAATCGAAAAAAAGCTGAAACATCTACAGTTATTAATTATTACCAGCTACTGAATGATGGATCCCACTCTCCCAGCTTACCAAAAACATACAAGCTAGTCCACAATATCGATACAAATCCTATCCGTCAATAATTTCACTTGTACCTGTACTGCATCTATTCCCTCGTCCTCCTCTACTCGGTGCTCCTCGTGTTGACGTTTTTGACGAACGCTTTCTCGTCTTCCGTAGTTGTTGCCATGGTCGTTACCATGATTATCATCATCGTCGTCGTAGTACTCATCGGACTCTTCATTAGCAGCAAGTGAATGAAGTAAGCAGCCGACTGCGTCTTCTTCACATATTTCAGATTCACAGTGAATAGGTGGGGCAGGTATGGAGGCTAGAAGAATTTAATGATTGAGAATAAAGCAGAAATTCTATGAATGAAAAAGAAAAGAAGAACAAGGGAATAAAGAGAAATAGAAGAACGTGATTTTATTACCGAAGTGCTCTACAAAGGAAATAAATTGCAATGACAACAAAGCGTCGAAGTTGTAACACTCACGCAGTCTGTCCTTTCCCGACGTCACGAGTTTTTGCAGGGTATGGTGGAAGAGCGAACAGCAGAAGCGAATCGTGTGTGACGTCAACAACTCCAACTGAACGAAAACTAGTCGATGCAAGATAAATGAAGGTCATCATAGATAGCAATTTGAAGGTGACAGCCACAAACGAAAATGTCAAATTAATGAACGAATTTCCAAAGGATATATACATATATACAAATCAATGTGTATATATATATATAGATATATATATATATAAAATGATATGTGCGCATTTCATATAGAACGTATATGCATAATACGCAGGTAGGGCATTTATTATTCATAGGCGTTTCATTATGGGCGCATGTGGCGTAGTGGTCGGAGGCGCCCTACAGCACACAAGTGGAATCGATCCCCGCGTCCATGACCCACCAAGCTTTTCATTCCTCCGGAGTCTGCAAACTGATGCCAAAATTGTCTGGGATGATAGCAGCACTGGTTTGATACATCGATAGGACACCGCGAGTCATGGTGAAGGTCAGATACGCATCCACTCATCTCCAAACGATGCTTAATGAAGTCGAATGCATGGCGCATCCTTCAACGGTTGATCAACGCCGAGAGATTTTAGAGAGCGTAAGTATTTCATTTTGTTTGTTTGAATACTTATTTCGTTATCCATTGGGTATGTAAAAAGAGAGAGCCATAAAAAACAAATAAGTAAACAAGTGAACAAATAAGCATTAAAGGCGGAACGCCGAATGTGTCGGTTTTATCAAAAATCCATAAAAGAAATGTTACTAGAAAAGTCAGTGAGTGAAGTGAATTAACCTGAATATTGTGATGAACGAACAGATACTTGACGAACACTGTATTCAGCTTGTTCAGATTCAAATGCGAGCATTGCGGTGTTGCACCGCAAAGTTGAGTAAAAAGCTTCTAAATGACTCATCTGAAGACGACCAAACGGTGGAATAACAGAGAAAGCTAGATCTGAAACGATAGAATGCCGTTATAGCTGTGATCAGAACTCACGAAATTATCTTCGTTGACATCATTGGCATTGGTCTGTAGAATACCGTTGTCCACACATTCATATACACCTATCTGCAAGGTGAAATAATACAGCAGTTGGAAAACACAATTAAGTCAATGGAATATGAATGCGTCGTTTTCTTGTTTAGCAATCGTGAGGTTTTAAAACAGCATACATTTACTTCCATAGAAAAACACAATACAATACAACGCTAGCGGACGTTTCGGCAGTATCGCCTTCTTCAGAGCCTGGAAGGGTATACTGATACACAATCTACTAGGCCAAACCCTTCAATAACACTTACAAAAAGACGAAAAACTCTGTGGTAATTACATGATCAACAGCTTCTCGAGGTCATACCCGACTTGATCCCGTATGTTGTCATCAATTTCAGATGTGGGATGGTGCAGTCATCAACCATATGCGACTATAATCAGCTGTTCTAATCTTCCTCATTGGAAGTCACGGAAAAGCGGTGGGTTTTTTCAAGAAGTTGCTGATCATGTAATTACCACAGAGTTTTTCGTCTTTTTATAAGTGTTATTGAAGCGTTTGGCCTAGTAGATTGTATATCGGTACACCATTCCAGGCTCTGAAGAAGGCGATACTGCCGAAACGTCAGCTAGCGTTGTATTGTATTGTGTTTTTCTATGGAAGTAAATGTATAGTGTTTAACAACTTCGCGATTGCTGAACAAGAAAACGACGCATTCATATTCCAATGCCGAGGTTAATAGAAAGTCGATCCTGGGAACTATTATAAGTCCATGGAGCCTAGTCGAAGAGGTATAGCATGTATTCAACGGCAAGTTTACGCTATGTCGGTAGTGTTGACAACTCTTTCAGTACCATAATTCACGTCAACGATAACATTTTGTGGCATGGGATCGGTCAAAAACGAATAGAGGTTTGCCTGATATGAGGAAAGTCGATAGAGCTAATAGTCAGTAGATCGCGCTGCGTTTCTTAAGATGACGGAGATGAAGTTAAACTCATTCATGTGCTTAGGATAGATGCCAACTCAAGCGATGGGTTTGTGGTTAGCATATTGGCTAATACATAAATGATTGAGGTTACGTAAAAGGAAAGCCTCGACATCTTGAGAATAGCCAGAAAGATATTTGTGGGAAATCATCAAAAATCTTCACTGATAAGAAAAGTCACGCTTATTTTAGTAGTGCTCCTACATACTCAACCAAGTTTCGTCCATATAGGTGAGTAGCAGTAACAGTCACATGTGTCATCTACAATGCTTCTAATCATCACAAAACTCGAGAAGGCCCATTGAGCTCTACTCGTTTCATCCACCTACCAGAACTCTACTTGGCCGAAAGTCATGTAGCTAATCACTCCTACTTTTTTTTACTGATTAGCTGGAGGCTAGCCACGAGCAAGCTACCAGGTGCTCCAGTAACATTGGCTCACCGCAATCTTAGGTGCCTAATGGAAATGTTAAACTGATCAACTTGGGTGACCATGCGTGAGATGAGCATCGCTTTCCGACGCAGCTCTACTTCCAGATGTATGGTCTAGAAACCACTGAGATGTATTAGTAATATTAAATAGAACAACTAGCTATAGTTATGCACATTTGTAAAAACTAGTTGAATTTTCCTCGATATTTCATGCCACTGAGGCAGCAGTACTGTCATATAGATTTATAGGAAATAATTTTTCCACGTACTTACATTATCAACTCCTCTCTCCAGATCTGGTGATTTGAATTCAAAAAAGCCGCACGCAGTTGTGGATGACGGGCACTGTGTAGTAGTTTGGACTTCATGAGAGTAACGTCTTCCTTGTCGGCAAAACACCTTAAATTACCAATAATGGTCATCAAATCCCTATGGTATTAGACCAGTCCCGCACAGCAATGGCAATGGCGAGCCGACGTTGGTCATCCACTAATAATTTGGCTTAAGGTTGCAGACCTTATTGAACTCTTTCTTAAAGAAAATGTGTTTCTTCACCATTGCACTTCACACGACGGAAAACTTACATTGCACTTAAACTGACAGCGATAACCTTAGTCTACTACATGGCTTTCCAACGAAGAACTACACCCTCTTAGAGTTTCATTCCCAGTCCGGTTTTTTTTAAAAACCAACACCGTGTCATATCTACTTACTTATCGATTCCTTCAAGATTTCTACCACTTTAATTATTTACTAGTACAATGCTCAGTTTTATTCACTACCTACTGTTTCTTCACCGCATGTGAAATACAACCACAGTGATGCTGAGATATTTGCAAAACTTGTGTTACCCATTGCATCACTGAGGCCCTTCCCTTGTCTTTCTCTCAGCCAATATTTTGAATCAAGCCTGGATGATTCCAAGTTTTTAAAATATTTCAGCATTATTGCGGCTGTATTTATTTTTACTTCATGATTTAGCCAACTCTCGAAAACTCGGTAGAGGGGGTAGCGGAGTGGTTAGTAATGTCGTCTATCAAGGAGCAAATGGGCTAGTTCGACTCACATCCAGCGCACTACACCAATCCACGTGAGAACGCCTTAGCTTGCCTATCTCCAGGACTGCAAGGAGAATCAACTTGACCAACACTTTACGAAATTCATAGAAAAGCCGAAATCCCTAACCGGGAGCCGAAACAACATGCGAAATGTTCGGAAACGATTGTGAACGATGAACGCAACGAAAACGAATCGAATACAAGAAGTGCCGGGTTTTGCAGAGTAGATGTGATGAAGGGTCATGAACTCTCTAAAACAATGTAAAACTCACTACGGTATTTGTATTGTGTAGACTAGTGCAACAAGTAGTAAATGAACAGTACTGTGGAAAATACAGTAGTGAGCGATTTTCTTCGTTCAATACGTTTTAAACAAAAAGGAGCCAACTGTATTCTACGTCTTACTCATAAATAGTTGACGTCACCCACCATAAATTGCCACGTTCTACCAATAAATTAGCATTCTTACTTAGCTATTTACCTTCACATTATACGGCGCCAACGGCAGCTCTATCGCTTGTAGAAGTGGCAGCAACAGAACGACAGAAAACATCCGGACATTCCGTCGGCAGGTGCTTCCAATCTGAAACATCGTTGTTGTATTTCATAGATTCCCCGCCACTTCGAGAATTTAGAATCTCAGAGGTCACTAGATTAAAATCTACAAATAGAAGCGAATTTAAAAATGGTGGTTATAACAATGATGATAGGGTGACGATGATAATAATGGCGATGATGATAAAGAATTTTGAGAAAGAATTGCATATGGAAAGAAAATTAGAAAAGTTTGATACTGAGCATAAAGTTTAACGTTTTGTTTTCTGCCTTCTATAATTTTCATGGCAGGTTACTAAGCGAAATACAACCACAACGTTGCTGAGATATTTGCAAAACTCTGGACCGCAGATGTCTATGGTGGGGAACGAACGCGCTATTATCCTTTCCGGAGAGTAACGCGTTCACCACCACACCATGCGGGTCCTTTGTTTCGCACGTCTCTCAGCTATTTCTATCGATCTTTTTGCCACAGCAATCACCCGTCTCACTGAGCATAAACTTAAAATCACGGATATTTCTACTACTCGCATACCATTAAGAGCTTTGAACAGTGCCAGCGATTAAGAGCAATACAAAACAACATTTATTCAATGAGATCGACATCGATGAGCAAATGAACCAACACAAAAATAACACCCACTTGGTGGACCTACGCATACTATCCACTCAATGCGGAGAATTCACAGTTAGTAGTGCTACCAATGGAAAACGAACGTGCGCATGGCGTACTACTGTGTAGTATTTAAAAAATATTTTACTTTTATTACAACAATTTGGTACCACACCAGTATCATCCCAGCCAAACACAATGATGCACTCAGCTTGTTACACCGTCTTTAAGAGCCTGGTAGACTAATCTCATGATTCGCTGCCATCATAAGAATTGTTGTACAGAAAAAATCCAAGTTGTAAGGAGGAAACCTTTCTCGAAAATTCATCGACTGCTCTTGCGACATGCCGTATAGGAGAGGCTGTTTCCAAATATGTGTCACTCTTCAGTTTGCTTTTGATTGCGTACGTGCGACACCATCAGACAAATCTCCTCTGACCACAACCAGCTTGGCCCGTTGTCTTAGAAGTCACACAACACATCCAGTACTATGATTTATACCCACTACTATAAACAAGAACATTTTTCATCTCGAATTTGAAAATTCCACCAGTTAGTGCTGGCTAGGTAGGTTTTGTCATGCACCCATCATTTGCAGTGAAACTTGTTAGCTTTCAAAAGCTATTCTTCAACGTTTCCATCCCAGACTTCCTTATCCCGTTTCCTTATCGAAAAAAGTCAACGTCATTAACTGCTACATAAAGACATATCATAAGCTGATAATCCAAAACTAAGTACTTCCATGGAAATGTTGAGAAATACGCTCGTAACAGGAAATCTTTCAGGAAATTAATTATTGGCGGCAAATACGGCCATCGCACAACAGGAAAAAAAAGTCCAAAAAAATCACATTGAGGTCCTATGCATCTATGGCAGGAGAGGAACCAGGCGCACGCCGAAGAGCCACGAGATTTGCTGAAAGGTTTATGAACAACTGCTGATCAAGCGCTTCTTAACCCAAAAGAGCTGCCAACCTTCATCAAGCAAGACCAAATGTTTTGAGGAAGAGGTGCTCGTGCAAAGATCCTACTGCTACGTATATGCAACAAGTGGACATCAATGTCAGTTGCAGAAATGCAGCACAGGAAAACGCCCTTCAACATCAACAGATGAGAATTCCAGAGGTTTTTCTTCAAAAAAATTTCAGAGAAAAAATCCAAAAGGCATTTCTTCCAGGTCATGAGTGCCGCGATCTACACAGTGGATGTGGCGACGGGTGGTGTAAGATTCAAAAAAATCTGATGATTAGAAATTGGAAAGTGAGCGAGGAATTGAGAGAAATTATCCTACTTGGTTCACAGTGTTCTTTTTCCTAATTTTTGCAATTTTTATGTTTCGGTGGCTTATACGTACACAAGAGAAGGATAAAAGATGAAGCTCTCGGCTTTGATCAATCCCTGAGAGATGCCCCATGCATTCGACAATATCATCGTTAGATGTGGTTGAATGCATAGCTGGTCTGTACAATGACTCACGGTGTCTTCCGATCCACCATTTCGGTGCTTTTGTGATCTCAGATAACGCAACCACCAATTTACCGACTCGACTGACGAGGGATGAAAGGCTTGGTGAGCCTGGGGAGCGCGACCGAACCCATGTGTGTTGCAGGGCACCTTTAATTACTGCGCTACACGCGCCCTATACGTAGCAATCTATGGAATTCACAGATTTTTCGTTTCTATATCTTAAACAGTTTAAAAACTTAGATGCCTTTTAGCGGTATTCTTTCAAATGAAACGATCATTGAACGACTACCTCAAATTTTTTCTATAGAAAGGAATTCCATTAGTGGTATTTTTAAGAAGGTTCAGTTTTTCTGAAAGGTTTGACGACTTGTCGGCTGCGGTTTTTTTTCAAATTTTTTCTAAGACGATTTACCACTCTTACCTTTTTTAATGGACTCACTACTACTCCTATGACTCACAGTTACATAACTTGCCATGGACAAAATGGACTATTTCTGTTAGCTGCTACGCATTTATTTGCGACAGGTGTGCTGTCGGAACTATTACTTACTTAATCTTAACCTTTTTATTTACTGCCTATTCTTTTTTAACGACATGATATCTTGCGAAATATAACTTCTATAATGCTGAGATATTTGCAAAACTCCGGACCGCAGGTGTCTGAGGTGGAGAACGAACACGCTATTGTCCTTTCCGGGGAGTAACGCGTTCACCACCACACCATGGAGGTCCTTCGTTTCGCCTGTCTCTCAGCTAGTTTTATCGATCTCTGTCATCAGCAATCACCCGTCGGTGGGATTGACTCGGCACCGGCACGGTGTGGTGATGAACGCGTTACTCCCTGGAAAGGACAATAGCGTGTTCGTTGTCCACCGCAAACACCTGCGCTCCGGAGTTTTGCAAATATCTCAGCATTATAGAAGTTATATTGCTTGCTTGCTTAGTTAGCTTGCTTAGTTAGATACTTGGACGGTCCGTACTCACTGGTTGTGCGAACCTCATTCTCCGTTGTTCGGAGTTTTGCTGGTTTAGTCATTGTGGCTGAGCCCTACTGGAGCCCCGAGGTCAGAAAGGCAAAAGTCTGCCCCAGGTCATCACCACCACATACAGTCGTCATCCTTGTAGATCAGAGAGAAATTTTCCACCATGCTACTAATCCCTGGTATTGGTTTACAGCTGGGCTTCCTGATGGAAACACCGAACTCCTTCTCAGCTTGGAAGATCCTTCGAGTGGGATGAATCTCCCTCTGTACCTCGCAGTCCGACACCTAGGAACACCTCTCTGCCACGATGAAGCGGTGAACCGTCGGAGGGTTAGAACTACTTTTAATTTCGTATCCAACTAGCATAACAACTGTTTTATTTTAGAAATACAAGCGTTGTGTGCACATTTCTGCCAAAAAAATTCGAGTTTAGCGATTTATTGACGAGAGATCTAAAAGTTTGTACTTTCAGAAGCAGTTTACTTATTGTGGGTTTTTTCATAAACGTAGTAATAGATTGCTGGAAAATTAATATCTAATTTTTAATTCTGACTGTTTTTTTGTCCTTTGTATTTCGTATCCACTGTAGACATATAGCGAAATGATTGTTTTGTCATTTCCTCCACACAAGAGGAGATGAGCAAATGACCTGAGTTATTGAATTAACAGTCAGACTATATAATATTCGCCAGAGGGAAGTTAAAAGGAAAGTGGCTTCCAATTCTAAGCCATCGAGCTAACCTATCCTAAAACGGCTGCATTACCAAGTGGTATCGAAAGCCGAGGAACAAAAACATTCTGGCTCATTACCTTTCCTCCCACCGCTGATACAAAAACGCGTGCTTGTGAGGAATAGGTTTCAAACAGCCACCGGTGTGTGCAC